TAAAAGCCACACTGGTTCACCCCTTGAGTTAAGTGCCTTTCTCATAATCATTGCATGATTTACAAAAATTTTGCACAATAATATTTCTCCAACATCCTCTCTTGCCTTTTAGTTAATGATGCTGGATGGCGTTCTCATCAGAGTTGGAAAGGAAAAAAGCAGCTGAAGCCTAAAACATTAAAGGTTGTTAAAAACGCCACTTCCTCTGTCTAATGGGAGTTTATTATCTCTTCCCTATAAGTGTTATTAATTCATTATTGAGGGGATATCCTGTTCTGGAAAATAAGGAGGAGAACATAGATAATTCCAAACCAGACACACACTCAAACAGTGCCCTCATTCACCAACATGCTGCAATGTGAAGCCTGGGTTACAAGGTGAACAGTGACACCTTCTGGCAAGATCTGATACTTCAGTTGGTGCAGAGCACAGCATGAGGCCACATTGGATATAGTAGAGACAGCATAAATTTAAACAGAAAACCAAAGAAGCCATTAAGTATTAAGTACAAACAGCTAAGGATTCCTCGATTAGACACAGGTGGCTTATTATTAGCTTAGTTGTAGCTGACTACATTTAAACAAATTAATAAGTAATCATGTATTCAAATTGTCTTAGCTGCAATGTTTAAAAAAAATCCAAATTAAGTTTAATTGCTGCAAAGAAATTCCAAAAACACTAAAGTTTAATTGCTGCAAAGAAATTCCAAAAACACTAAAGGGAAACTACTTATATAGCAAGCCAGAATAAAAATTCACCACATAAATGCTACATTAATACTCTGTATGATGAGTCCATTTTTAAGGTCTGTTTCCATTGTTTTTCTGGTGGCAAGATCTGCTTTCTGTATCTGAAGTTCAGTGTTGACAGCTCAGCATCTACAGTGAAAAAACAACGCTTTGCTTACAGCTTTTTCTCCCCCTGCTGTGCTGACAGCATTTTCAGTTAAAGAGCATTACTTCCCTCTTTGTCCCTAACAAAAAGTGTCAACCCATAGCTGTCACTGACAATCAAACTGTTTGAAATCCCAGACTGATCTAATCCCGTTCTTAGGTCCTTCCTGGAGTAGACTGTGGAGACTCGGAGCACTCGGTTCACGTGTGCTCCGAGTATTTTTGTAACCTAACAACAACGCGGCTTTCTTAGAAGAGCTCCAAGACTGAAAGCACATAACCCAGAAACCGGCCTTTCTAGTTAGTGGGTTATTAAAACTTTAGAATAATGTCAACGTGAAATTATCCGCTTCGGTTTCACACTTACTGGGAAGCTTCATTGCATTGATGGTAATAAATAATAACACCCCGTCAACTCGATTAATATCACCTTCAGCCCGTTTATGTGTGAGAAGGTGCACACACAACAAAGCCGAGAGCAGAGAGAGGTAAAAACCCTGCACTACTTATTGCTGAGGCTTCATAGTACAGCTGCTTCCACCGTTCATATAGGGATTTATGTCATTGTTTTAAAAGTTTAGTTTCATTTTTTATGATCATCTGATTAACTGCCGCTCCAGGTTTAGATTGATAGATCACATAGAATAGAATGAGATAACTAATTATAGTACTAACATAACTCCCCCCCCCCCGAGCAACGGCAAGTACAGCACTAGTTTAGATGATTCCTACCTGGTTTGGGAGCTGCGGATGTTGTTGTCCCAGCCAGTACAGGCACTGGATCATTCTGTGATGTTTGCGAGCCTGTAGGTGTGGCATCTGCTGCCTCCTTCTGAACTTCTGTGGTAGATGGAAACTCTGTAGCATCCTTCTGAATGTCTGTGAGAGCGGTGCACTTTAAATGTACTTTCCTCAGTTCCTGTGGTCCTGCCTCTTCACACACTGAGTCCATTGGCTCACCTATAATGCAGGAAATCAATATTGCTTACACCAGACAGCACACTGTAAATTACCCTTCTCTTCTGTTTTGAATTGAATTCATTTTTGAATGAGCACCCAATGCTAACTGTACTTTAAACCAGGGTGCTTACTTACGCCTGATCATTGACATCAGAATATGACATTACTGATCTGCAGTCATGCAGCAGGACTGCTCTCTGTGACAACCTGCAGTTAAAAAGCCTTGCTGTGAAGGGGTCTCTGATGAAATGTTGCACAGTTTGTGAGCTTTGCAACTGATGGAGCTCTTATGAGCTG